TTTTTTTTTTTTTTTTTTTTTTTTTTTTTTTTTTTTTTTTTTTTTTTTTTTTTTTTCATGCATCGTTTGTGCTGGAAAAAATTTACTCTAGCGCATCACATTTTCAGAAAAAAAAATTATGACGCAAAAAAATATAACTGTAAAAGTTCTCCGTGCCCGAGTCTGCACTTGGTGAGTTATAAAGAAGTCCAGTTAAAAAAAACCTGAACTTTAAATCAAGTTATTGCTTGGATGATATTGCTGTCGAATAAACAGAAATTAGATCAAAGAATTATGACGTGGTATGTTTTTTCTCTTTTTTTCAAACATCAATCAATTGCCAATAATAAATATAATATACGGGATGAAATTAATTTATTTCGCGTGAGTTTAACAGGTGAATATCAGGTACATTTTACTTACAAGTGTAGGTACACAGATATGGAAAAAAAAAAAAAAACAAAGTTGTTGAATTGTAACCTTAGTCCTTACCAAGAAAGTTTTAAGGTTTGCCATTCCTCTACAGACAATTGTTTTATTGTTTTTACAACGTTTTAAAAGAACGGGAAAAATATTTGTTGGAACAAAAAAAACGTTCTTATATTGTTTGTTAGCGTGTAAACACATAATCTACCACGTGTATATGCTATTGACGCAGCTGTGAAATTGGCAGAGAAAATACAGGTACGAAACTTTGGTACAGTTAAGTGAACTTTTATTGTGTTATCATATGCAATAACTTATGCCTCGTAAGAAATAAAAAAAAAGTCTTTTCAATTACCTTGGTAAACTCGCTCAAGTGAAACTCGACGCTCCCGTTCGTCTGCGATATCGGGGGATTGTCGTTCTGATCGAGCACGTCGATGCTCAATACCCTGCCGACCGTGTACTGCATCCCAGTCGTTTCCTCCCAGACTCCGCATCTCAGCTCGACCGACACCTCCGGCCCGGTGCCCTTTGGTGGCTTCCTCGCGTCTCGATCGAGCGACTCGTTGGCGTACAACTTGTCGTTCACCAGATAAAAGAAATTCGTTCCTGTCTCGTTTCCACCCAACAAACCAGCAATTAGCACAACCATCCCAATTACTTGTTGTTGTTGTTTTTTTTTTTTTTTTCCATCTCATGGCGACAACAATGACAAAAATTCAATAAAAAAAAATCTCATTCATCAAATCATTCATGTCATCATCCACTCGGTTGCGAAACAATGATCCTACGGGTCCGTACCGTTGAGCAACTCGTAGCCGCTGACGTAAAAGTTGGGACAAATGGATTTGTAAACGTCCGGGGCCAGAGTGCCGAGCATCGTCGCCGGCTGGTTCTCGTAAATCCTGTACTTGGTGCCGTTCCAAAAGCACATGTCCTGCAACACACACCGACAAACATATACGATACAGCAACCAACTCTGCCCACAATCGCGGACTGGAGTCCGTTTTGTTTTAATTTGCTCCGCAATCTATGTCAAGTGCATTCTGCACGGGGCCCCCCACAATCAATCACATTTTTTCCGTAAGGGTTGAAATTATTGATTCGACCGAGACGCAACGAGGGGGATAGCAAACACGTACCTTGAGATATCGGGTGCAATTGATTTGGTCCTCGGGGATGGCTTCGGGCTGGATGTTTATCTCGAGGAAGGCCTCGGCGCCGGACTTTTCTCTCGCCCGGACGACGATTGCGCTCGAAGCGCCTGAAAGAAGGGGGCGCGGGAGTAAGTATACTTTTCGGTTCGAGGGGTCGAACGTGCGGATGAAATTGTCACGGCGGTGATTGATAAAAGAGGGGTGGGGGGGGGGGAAACCAGCTCACCATCCTTGGGCAGAGAGTGGAGCACGAGGTCCCCTTTCCTCGGGTCAAGAGTGGCGACGTTGTCCTCGGACGGCAGAATAAAGTACTCCACGTCCTCGGTCTCCGTGGCGTTGCTCCTCAGGGTCCTCACCGTCGTCAGGTTGATCTCGGCTATCAGACCTATGCTGCTCCTCGTGTACGGTATCCGCAAGCTCAGCTCCGACTGGGGAAAGTACAGCCCTGCAATCCGAATTTTGCAACCGTGTGAGTTTTCACTTGGAAAATTCTTCGAGAAGAAGAAGAAAAATACACGTGCATGCATATACATCCTCGCGTACAAAAAGTCCTTACTTTTTTTTTACCTCCACCCCCTGTTGTACGTACAGCTGCTCGGCTATACCGATACGCGACGGAAAAAAAGGAGCCTTCGGGACCTTTCCAGGTTGGGGGGGGGGGAGGGGGAGGAAACCGGAGAGCGACAGTCGCTCCGCGCTGGGTATAGTCTTTCTGCTTTTTCGCAAAGGGATGCGAGCGTACATGTATATGGCGAGGGGGTGGCTCGGGGACATTGATACGCGCTCGGCAGACGGAATAAGGAAACGGCGAGAGGAAGGAAGGGCGGGACTCGAGCGAAAGCTTGCATACTGGCTGATTTACGTGAGCGTATATTATATATAATATATGTGCCTTGTGGTCGCGGTTTTGCGAAATTCTACCGACAGATCCATTGCGCGTGCATATATAGTTTCACACTTTTTACGCACTTTCATCTGCATAATTTTACGCGTGTAATTCATTACTACGCACTTTAAACGGCTTACATCGACACGTTCGAGGTGTGAACTACGCACTTGAAACATATATTAAAACTATATAGGCACCTACAAGAGTGTAAAAAGTGTTACAGATTTGATGCGCTTGGATTTGTATTCGCGTGGCAAATTGCGTTTCGATGTGGAATATATTCCCCGAACGAACTTTACATGAATCTGATGTGGTGAACCACTCGCGAAAAAATTCAATCCACCAGCGGGTGCAAGAGTTCAAGGAAACTGTGGCGTACCGGGAATTTAATATCCACGCGTACAAGCGTTTTTGGGGGTGATTTTTAACATACCAAAAGTTCAATTCAAGTGATACATAGGTATACGTGTCAAACGATGACTCGTCGTTTGATTGATATTGCGTCGCAGTAGTTTTTAATTTATTGCGCAGCAGCAACGATAAATTTCACGGATTTCAATTAAAACGGCGTAATGAGATATCTGCTGTTACCCAGCCACTGAAAAAAGAAAAAGAAA